TTATCCTTTTTTGGGGCCCGAACAAAATTAAAAACGGAAATTCTACACATTTTTCTAATTAAAAAGTTACTTTTCAATTTTTAGAAAATATGAAACTATTTTATGAATCAAGAACGAATTTCCTAACTAATCGTATAAAAACAAATATTGGCTTGATTTCCGTATTATTTTTTTAATACGTTTTTTCTATCAAAAACGTTCGCTTCGCCAACAAAAAAGACACGAATGGAAAGAAGGAGCTTTTGTCTAAAATTGGCAAATGTGAAAACGCTTTTGCCGTGCCCACTTTTATCTTTGTTTGGGGTCCGAAAAAAATTAAAAACTGAAATTTTACAAATTTTTCAAAATAAAAAGCTATAATTTTAATTTTTAGAAAATATCAATCTATTTTTTGAATCTACACAACGAATAGTTTAAAAACGAGTAATGGAAAATGCGTGCAAATATTTTATAAAAATTTACAAAATTGGACTTGATTTCCGTTATTCGTACGAGCACTTTTCTCACCGGAAGTTGCATATTTGGCGCGTTCCGACTGGGGTTTTCACAAAAATTTTATATGCATGGGATTCAAAATCGTATGAGGTGTCGACTGCGGTACGTTAAAAAAAAATCGGAATAACGGTTAAAAAGGTTTTTTAGAACTTTGCTATTTCTTCCGTCTAAAATTTTTCTTGATTAAATTTTCGAAAAAATATTTTCCATTTCTAATGGCTGCTGAATTTCTACGTCGTTCCCCATTCGGTTTTGAAATTTTCAGCCTCTAAAAATTGCGAAATTTCCGTGGAGAACTTGCTAATTTTCCGCGAATTTTTCTGGAGAAGTTTTGGGATCTGGAAAATTTCTAAAACGGGTTTTAAAGAGCTAAACCTGAATAGGTTTCTCCCAAATATAAAAATATTAGGTTAAGTAATTTTTTCATGCCGATATTTCATGTTTCCAGGCCTCTCAAACTGTCGGCACGCAACTTCGTTTGTGATACTCGAAATGTTTGTTGGGATACTTGAATTTTCGAAATTGATTTTTCGTTTGATACTTTTTCTGGGTGTTTAATCCCGATATACAAAATACCGAAATACAGAATCCCGAAAGACATTATCCAGATACGACCAAATGCCGACAAGACACAATCCAGACAAGAAATCCCGACAAAATATAAAAATAATTAAAAAATCGCGCGACTTCGCCAACAAAAAAGACACGAATGGAAAGAAGGAGCTTTTGTCTAAAATTGGCAAATGTGAAAACGCTTTTGCCGTGCCCCCTTTTATTTTTTTTTTGGGCTTCGAAACAAATTAAAAATTGAAATTTTACACATTTTTCTAAATAAAAAATTACAATTTAAGTTTTTAGAAAATCTGAATCTATTTTGTGAATCTAGAAGGAATTCCACAACTAATAGTTTAAAAACGAATAATGGAAATTGCGTGCAAATATTTTATAAAAATTTTCAAAATTGGACTTGATTTCCGTTAGGCGCAAAACGCTGGTAGTTGCACTTTTGGGGCGTTCCACAAAAGTATTATTGCACGAGATTGGAAATTCGATGACGCGTCTATCTTCTTAAAAAAAAATCGGAATAACGGTTAATAAGATATTTAAGACATTTCGAGAAGGCAACGGTCGCTTTTCCTGTTTCTTGCTCTAAAATTTTTCTGCAACTAATTTTTCTAAAAAAAATTTTTATAATTTCAAATCTTCTTCTTCTTCTTCTTATTTGGCGCTGTAACCGCCTAAGCGATTTTGGCCGAGTCCAAAACAGCACGCCAGTCATTTCTCTTCTGTGCTAACTGACGCCAATTGAAAATGCCAAGTGAAGCCAAGTCCTTCTCCACCTGGTCTTTCCAACGCAGAGGAGGCCTTCCTCTTCCTCTGTTCCCAGCATCGCGGCCCGCGTTGAATATTTTCAGAGCAGGAGCGTTTCTGTCCATCCGAACGACATGGCCAAGCCAGCGGAGCCGCTGAATTTTAATTCGCTGCACTATGTCTATATCGTTGTAAAGCTCATACAGCTCATCGTTAAATCGTCTGCGATATTCGCCATCACCAACGCGTAAAGGTCCGTAAATCTTTCGCAGAATCTTTCTCTCGAAAACTCCAAGAGCCGCCTCATCAGATGCTTTCATTGTCCATGCTTCCGCGCCATACACCAGCACAGGCATGATGAGTGACTTATAGAGTGTGATCTTTGTACGACGAGAGAGGACTTTACTTCTCAATTGCCTACTCAGCCCAAAGTAGCACTTGTTGGCAAGAGTGATTCTCCGTTGGATTTCAAGGCTGACATTATTATTGGTGTTAATGCTGGTTCCCAAATAAACGAAGTCGTCCACTTTTTCAAACTTGTAACTGTCAACAGTGACGTGGGTGCCAAGACGCGTATGCTCTGACTTCAAATAGCTGACGAAATTTTATGCTATTCCCCATCCGGTTTCGAAAGTTGCAGCCCATTAAAAGACCGACTTTTGAGTCGAGAACTCGCTGCTCGAGGATACTTTTCGGCGAAATTTTCTGATTAAACTTTAGGATTTGGAAATTTGTTTAACTGGTTTAGGGCACCTCAGAGAACGTACTTTAATGGCTTATATACAAATAAA